CTCTATCTCTTACGGAATAATACAGAAAACCGGTGACGTAAAATGTAATTAACTGCGATGGAAAAATTTCGGCATGCATAATTTATTCTCCGATCGATAAACGGAAAGTTGATTTTTTTTTTGTTTTTTTTTTTTGCTCTTTTATTATTCGCACGCGTTAATTTGAAATTGTAATATCGGTGGGAAAAAGAGAGAGAAGAATAATGATGATTGCAACTTCGTAATTATAATGAGAATTTCGAATTCGTTGAGAGACTCTCATTACTGCGAAAATGTCGTTTCTTCTCGTCTAAATTCGACGATAACTACCCGAAGTGAAGGAGACAGAGACAGAACGCGCGATTCCATTTATAATCCATCTTTCGGCAGTGACAGAGCACTACGTGCTCCATTTTAGCTGCCATCGCCTCTCTCGCGTGAGAAGGAATCGGTCCAAGGTCGAAGACAAGCACTCCCAGGTAGCTTTTCTCCTCGCCCCTCTCCATATTGGGATCGGTATATATCACCCTCCTTGTAAGCGGCGGCAGCTATCAGGGTGACCATCCCTTCCGCGGTGGGAGCTTCCATTGCTACCCCCATGCTGTCTGCCACCCCGGAACTCGGTCTGCCGGTGTGTTCTATCTACCCTCGAAAATCCATAGTGGACCCACCCTCGGCGGCGCCTGCGCATCACCGAGCTTTATTCCATCAACCAATCCCCCGTTTCTTGTCTCTTTACGTCGAACAGCGTCGGCAAAATGTATGTTATGTTAGGCGAAAGTATAGCTAATCATCATTGTACTCTCGCGAATCTACATCTCGAATGCAATTAGGTAATTTAGAAAATTAGGTGTAAAAAAGATAACGACAAAAGTACGATAGAAAAAGAAGTAACCGTTTTGCTAAAAGCAAAAGTGGTAACAGTTCACGTGTCAATATATTGCTCAGAGAGATTTCAATCGAATTTTGACAGATGGTCAAAAAATTTACTTGAAAATAGAAAAAAAAAAAATCTCGAGAGAACTTTTTTTGTTTCTCTTCTCGCGCGAGATTTTGTTTCGTGAATGAATCGACCGATCATCATAGTCCCGAGTCATCGGCCATTTTTTGTCCACTTATCATCCGCTTTTCGTTCGCGCTCGCGCGAGGAGGATGGCAGTGCACAAAACAGGCTTTAATGCGAGCACCGAGGCAACCTTGACTGGGATTTACCCGCCTGATGGATTCGAGGATGGCGTGCGGTGAGAGCTTCCGACCGTCTGAACGCGCCACCTTGTAACTCATGTTATTTAATTCTAATCAGTCAGTCGCTTACGAAATTAGCCGAGAAGAGAGAGAGAGAGAGAGGAGAGAGAGTACATCCAATTTATATATCTTAATCAAGTGAGATTACTTGTTAATTATGTTCTTTGGTTGCTAAATACATTTTGGTGGTTTTCTTTGTCGCAGCAAGAATATATTTTACAAGTGGGATTTTTGATCTACAAATTGTGTAACACATTTTTGCAAAATTAATTTTCAACAATTGAATTTCTCGTCAAATTTCGTTTCGATATTGATTGATTTTATCGAAAAAAAAACTCCTCGATTTTCTGCGAAAAGTCGGCGAAAAATTTCTCTAGAAAAATCGCCGTCGAAAATTGCCGGTGCACCGGGATGAAAATTGCCAGGAGACCTTTCCTCAAACGACCGCGGCAACATTGCCGGCCATTAAACGGAGTCTGAAATGTATAAGTATACGTGTACGTACGTTTCGAGTGCGTTACCAGTGTCACGGTTCGCGGAGTCGATACGCATCTACGCAACTGGCCTAATGCCACACACGATAACGTGTTATGCGTGTGGATTACCGGGGAAGGGCGCGAGAACTTGACACGTTATCACCTGGCCTGGCTGACAAACCAAAAATCGTGGAACTCGAGCTCGAAATAAATCAATAAACACTCAACGATGAAGTATTCAAATCCGTTGTTACTTAGGGGCGGCGATAAACGTAACACAATCGCTTTACACAACATTTCTCGAACTAGAGCAAACAGCTTCTGTCGGCGATAAAAAAAAAAAAAAAAGTTGAGTAATAACGTGCACACTCTTCGGGCGATTCTACGGAACGCGTCGTCCAGTCGTTACGTACGTCGTAGCTATAATTTTTTCATTAATCTGTCAGAGAGAGAGAAAAAAAAGAAAGAGAGAGAGAAAGAGAGAGAAAAAAAGATATACACATTTGCATTAACGAAGTCGAGTTCTTGTTCGTATTTACAAGGTAACTACGATCGCGCATAGTATACGGACACACAGGGATTGTTGATAAGCACCCGGGACACTGTGTGTTGTGTGTAAGTCGCGCACGAGTTCTCGTTTCTATAGACGCTTTTGGTACGTGCCTCTTCGCGTTATGCAAGACCGGCCGAGTGTGCTACTCGTTTTAAAATTTCCATATTACCGCTTCGTGAAATTAATATAATGAAACGGTAACGCTCGGTAAATTATCAAGACGAAAAAAAAAAAAAAAAAACATATCTCGGTGTTGAACGAGGAAAAAAAAATAGTATAGTTTGAAGACGATAAACGTCGTTCTCGGAAAACGCAAATCTGAGTAAAAACAAACTACATAGGCGACGCGTTGAAAAAGCGACGCCTTTAATTAAAATGCTTAAAGGCTAGAAAGCGTGATAAATGAGATTGTCAGTGTGGTCGGGTAGTGCGCGTGTGCGGACGCGCACATCAGGAAGAAAATTAATTAATATCAGACGACACCGAGTCCATTATCCAAAATGAAGAACCGACGGACGGAGAGATATTTCAATGTCGTTAGTAGTTTTGTCGGAGTACTTTGTTGTTTTCTTTCTCGCAAAAAATAAAAAACAATGTTTATTACTTCATACGCAATAAATATTATCTGATACGTGCAAAAAAGATTGGTATTTCATTTGTTTATTTTGGTTTTTCATTTTTTCAATTGTTACTCCGTTTGCATTTAGCGCGGGAGAGAAATGCATGTAAAAAAACAACAAACCGAGGAACGCGAGAGAGAGAGAGAGAGGCATCTCGAAACATCTCTAGCGAACGAACGGGCGCAGTGTGACATCTCATTAACACTATTTCCTTAATAACGGCGATAAGAGAGAACTGGTCCGAACCGTTCCTACGTGTCCGTCTCGTTTTCTTGCGCAGCCTTGGCGGTTTCTTCGGGGGCAGCGCAAGCCAAAGGCCGTTAAATATATGTATACCGCGTAAGAATAATAATTATTCCTAAGTATAGCCTGCGCGGAATGGCCGCCGCTCGGCGAAGCGGTGTCTTTGACGGGCCGCGAGATATCCCGTACTCCCGTCCCGCGGACTTGGAAACCTTGTTCCCATGGCGAGCATTTCAATTAAACAAACAGCGAGATGCGTAAAATTTTCGAGTCCGCATGTTAATTCCGTTGCCGGTCGCCGAGTCTGTGACGCCGCTGAAGAATCCGCGAAAGTCGTTAAGGACGAGATTTACGATACACTAAACGCGGCGACAGTCAATATTAGATCGCGTACAATCAAAAGAAAAGATTTGAGATCGAAAAAAAAAAAAAATCAAAATCAAAATAGCAAGAAGAATAAAACCAACAAAAACAAAAAACAAAGTAAAAATTGTAAAGTTTATTCTCTCAATATGCTCTTCAACGTACGCAAATTTTCTTCTGTTATATTAAAATGGCAGATTATTGCCGACTCTCTCGAAACTTGCGCCTTTAAGTTTCAATGTTAATTTCATAAGCGTTTCATTGTGATGAGATTGTGCGTCATATTGTCTGTTATGATGCGTCTCGATGGCTTTTATACTAACGGTAAGGATTTTAATTAAGCAAACAGCACACAAAGTTATCTCTTTTCTTTCCGTCTCTTCACTCCCTCTCTCTCTCTCTCTCTCTCTCTTAAAAATAAGGTTTATATGTTAATTTTGTAAGCTCTTCTCACCAGTGGCGTAGCATTGTTACAATAACAACAAACTACAAAATTTTTTCGATATCTTTAAACAATTAATATTATATAATATTACTCGCTCACGCATTTGTGCGAGTTCGACATATTGTTTGAAAGAAAACAAATTTATTTCTCCCGCAAACGCGATTCGGTTTACATTTAATTGGTCAAAAATATGTTTTAGTTTTTTCGTCCGCATAAAGTGGAGAATTTTTGAATCGTATGAAAATTAAAAATTTTAAAAGAGAGAGAGAGAGAGAGAGAGAGAGAGAGAGAGAGAGAGAGAGAGAGAGTTACTTTTATGTTCTCTTACAAAATACCAACAACTTTCCCGAACGCATTGATGAAGAATATTTACGCCTATGGCGGCTAGGCGGGCCACCAGCTAGTAGCTGTAGTTGTCAATTACCACCGTCATAACTACTAAATAACTCGCACACTTTACGCCAAATCGGGCGGCCCGCCGGCGACGTAAATACTCCAAGTTACGAGCCTGGCATGTGTATCCTCGCCCTAAGGATACTTAAGGATCGGCCGAATGGAGGCTCGTACGTGTCGGCAGGGTGTCAATCAGCTCGGCTGGCACGCCGGCAACTTTTAATTATCGAAATCCTGCGCGGACGCGGCCCGCCTGTTGTTAACGATTCGAGAGAAGCGCACGCTGATTCCGGTAATGAAGAGTAAAATGTAAATCCGCGCCTACACACGTAACGGTCCATGTGTGCCGCCGTTCCGCCGCGAATTGATTATCAAACGTTAATCCCCTCTCCTCGCGTGTCTTCGGAACAAAAGCCTGGTTGGTTATTGAACTTGTATCGCCACGGACTGGTGAGATAGTTGATTGCCGACGCGCGCAGGTGATTGACGTGTTTTATTTTTAGCGGATGCATTTCCGAATCAACGGCTACGCGACTCTGTATCGCAAATTGATAACAAAAAATTACTAAAATAATTTTTAAATTGAAGTTTCCTGTCTTTTTTTGGTTTTTTAATATTCGCGTCAGAATCTAATGTTGTGTTCGCGTTTTGCACGTGATGTTTGTTTTTGTTTTTTGTTGCAGCTTGAAGCCGCCGCAGAAGGACGGGGTGACGAAGTCGAATCCGAGCAAGCGGCATCGGGAGCGATTGAACGCCGAGCTGGACACGCTAGCGTCCCTGCTTCCCTTCGAGCAGAATATCCTCAGCAAGCTGGATCGACTGAGCATCCTCAGACTCAGCGTAAGCTACCTCCGCACCAAGAGCTACTTTCAAGGTAGGAGACAGATTTTTTTTTCCCCAACACAGATGATTGTTCGTTGCAACGTTCGCTGCAACGAACTTTCGAGAATTCGTTTAATCCTCGGAATGCGAATCGCGCTAATTCGTCATTCGCGTCATAATAATTGAAATATACAGAAAACTCGGAGAAACATATCGAAAGCTCGGTATTGTAACCGACCTTTCGTCAGCACGCGAGATACTCGTTACGTCTTCGAAACAATGAGACCCGAAAACAATGGGCGCGCGCGCGCGGTCCATAGACTCGGCCCGTTCATTCTTCCGCAAACGATCTTCCGGTTGATAGCTTAATATCCGAAGTGTTTCGCGCATTGTGCGCGCGATTGAAATATCAGAACAAAAAATAGCGAGATTTTTGTATAACAAAACGATGAAATTAAAAACAAAAACAAAAAAAAAACGAAACGGTCGAACGCGCGATGGTAAAAATATTTTTGTTTGGAAAAAAAAAGCGAACTGATTTGTTCCGGCGAGTACTTAATGTACGTTCGGGCGCAGAAATTATGCAACTGTTGAGCGATAGAACGCCTTTCTCTCTCTCTCTCTCTCTCTGCGCCGCGGGTGTGCAATCTCATCTGCAATCGCAATCAGGTGAGGCCAATCGAAGAATCGCCGCGAAATAACGGGTAGACACGTTCGTCTTCTTGCTCGCTCCGCCATTAAACCGTCCGTTCTCGTCCCTTGTTTCCAATCTCGCGACGACGAGCGAAGTGACTCTTGCGCCAACGCGAAATCGAGCTCATTGATTTTTTACGCCAGAATAGACGCAATGGATAGAACCTGTCTCGTTTTCTTGATCAAAAAAGTATTCGTTTAAGAAAAAACCCAACTGCAATTTCTTTCTCTGCTACGAGAGAGAGAGAGAGAGAGCGTCTATTTGAGCGTCTTTTCTTTTTTTCACAATTTTCGATCATTTCGAAAGAATATCGCTCTTCTAATCGTCGCGTCGGGTGTAATAATCAAACGTAACGACTATCGCGCTAAAAACGTAACAGAAACGGGTGGGAAGGAGTCCATTAGCGGAAGAGGTGGGCATCACGCGGGCTCGGTCGATGGGTCCCGCGAGTCGGGAACGGTCGATCCTGAAGAGAGCCTCGGGAACTCACAGGGAGCGAGGGAGATGGCAGATCTCTACGGGGATAGGGCGGCAATAGCGTATGCAAGGTAATGCAACGGGCACGAATCCGGATTGAACGCGCGGAGGAGGAAGCCCTCCTCTCCGCGTGTTGCCGGTGTCTATTTGTGTATTGCTGCTGCTCTGCTGCTTCGCCACGATATCGCGGATCTCGCAGTATATCACCGAGGTCCGCGCGCGAGTTGGCCGCAACGGGCAACTTTTCTTACTTGGTGCTCTTGTTGCTGCTGCTTCTGCTGCGTTTGCTATGTTGGTCGCGATACCGAGGGGGTGAGACTCGCGCGCGCGCGCGAGAGATGCAGCAGCGCATTGTGTTCACACCGTTTTAATAGGTATTCATTGTCAGAGCTCAGATCTCTGCCAAAGACCAGAGTGTGTCGCTCCGATCTGCCCCGATATCTCCGGAGAGAGTTTCTGCGCCCACTTTTGACCGTCCCTCCTTGCAGCTTTTTTTTTTTTTTTTTTATTTCCGCATTTTTGCGAGATCTTTGCACAAAAGTCCAGACAATTTTTTCGCATTGCGTCACAAAAAAAATTGTTAAGAACAATTTTATTTATAGCGAAGGGATGAGAAATAGATTTGAGGGTATATATATTTTTTTTTTACAGTTTATATACCGAAGAATCGTTGTTTCACGCACTCCCGGTCGTTGAACCGGGGGAGTGTTGATCGCGGTGTCCGATTTCCGGAAACTTATCGAGACGACGCCAACGACTTCCGTTGGCGCAGAAGCGCGGTACAAGCGCCGATTAAAAAGCTTCATTCGCGCCTCGCCGAGCGTTGCGGCCGTTAACAAGATTAACAGCTCCGGGTACGATCGGCAACATTAATCCGAGTAACACGGGTAGTGCGGAATCTGTCCTCCTTTCTCTTTTCGCTCCTTCTTTCTCTCTTGGCGCGCTATGTAAATTAATTAGGGCCCTCGCTGTAACCGCGCTGATTTTTCAAGCAGGCACGTGGTGCCTCCCTCGCCTCGAGGAAAGAACCGAACGAAAGAAGATGATGAGAAAAGAGAAGCGAGGAAGAGAGAAGAAGAAGAAAAAAGAAGAAGAAGAAGAAGAAGAAAAAGGAGGCGGAGGAAGAGGTGAAGTCCGCGGGGCCCGGAGTTGTCTTCTCGCCGAGCGTTGAGGAGACGGTGTGTGAAGAGAGTGTGTCCCTGCGCGCTCGCTCTCCGGGTCTTCTCTCCGGGTCCTCGAGATAGCAGATCTATCCCGGAGGCTTACGCCTCTCTCTCGCCTTTCTCACACGTTCTCCTTCTTCACACCCCGCGCTACCACTCTTGCGGAGATTTCGCTCGCACGAATCTCGACAATTAACCTGCGCCACTTAGTCTTATTATATTGGCAGGACGACTGCGCGTCGTCTTACCTCCTTGCGATTCCGTTGCGATCCCCGATCCGCGCAATTTCCGTTAATGGGCGACAATTCTCGCCGTGAAATAAAATTGCGCGGAAAACGTAATATTTTCCTTTTTTTTTTTTTTTGGAAGAAAACTCGGTTTTTGCGACCGACTTGTTTGATCTTAAGAGTCGATTTGACTTTTTCGTTCGCGTGCGCGTACTTCGTGCGCCATCTCTCGCGGACTCCTTCTCGCGGACAGTCGCAAAATAAAACAGCGCGAGTGAAAAAGATTGATGAGACCGCGGCGCGGGGAGGATTTATTCGGGCTCGTCGTCTCTCTCGGCGCGCTTGATAGTCGATTAAGCGTGACTAAGCGTCGCCGCTCGTACGACGACGACGACGACGACGACGATTTTTCCGGATCGGTTTTCGCGCGTTTGAGAACTTAACGACGTCGTGTGAAGTCCCTTCCGTGCACGCGCGCGGACAGGCGTTAAAAAGGTACGTACACGTAAATAGAATCGCGCGCGCGCACGGAATGTCGTGACTCGGCCGTGTGTGGTCAATTATTTCGATGATTTACGACGTCCTTATCGTCGGTAATTAGCGGAAAAGAGATTTACGCGTGCGAGAGACGCGCCGGTCGAGGATCGCGCGAGTTTATCAATCTCGCGCGCGAATTTTTAACTACTCTCGGAACCGTGACCGCGAGTGAGAGACAAGCGCGGCGCACTCCCGCTCAATTAAGCGGCCGCGAAGAAATTGTCCATTGGCAATCCCTGTTGCTGCCAGACCGAGACGAGATTCTCTCGCTCGAGATTGGATAAACAACAATGTGCGAAAATGCGACGCGAGGCGAGGGTGAAGAGAAAAACTGCACGGTGCGATGCTTTCGTTAAGTATAAAAAAAACGCGAAGCAAAAAAGTTTCTTAAGAAACGCACAATGTAACAGTTTTCGCGATATTGTATATTTTTTCTTAATTGGGACGCTTTGTGCGCTTGTGATCTGGAAAAAGATACATACATACATGGAAAAGAAAAGACAGAGAAACTTTTTTGCGATAAAGCGATGATTAAGCGTTTTATTATATCGAATAAATGCAACGTGCAACGAATTTTTAACGTCTTTAAAAAAACATTTTTTTTCTCTTTTTCAACGCAAGAGGGTTGGATAAATATATATACATATATACATATATATATATATATATATATATATATATATATATAATATATATAAAAAAACAACTTATATCACGCTCTTCCGGTTTTTGATCAACAGATCCGTCTCGTTGATTTCTCTTTGTTTCTCTCTCGTTCTCGTCTCCCTTTTATCAGGTTTCTTCCTTTCCTCTTCGTCTCCTTCCGTTGTTTCTCTCTCTCTCTCTCTCTCTCTCTCTTTGGTTCTCAGCCAGCTGCGGGGACGAAATGGAAAATGCAAATAAGGTGTAATAACGAGATGGTAAGCGTATCGCTCGGCTGTATCTCTCTCCATCGCGTACTTACGCATCTCTCCCGGACGTTTATGATATACATTTACACGTGTGTTTGATATATTAGCATAGGCGTGTCTACTTATGTGAATGCGCGCGAACATCGATCGCAAGGAGCGATCGGATCGTTTAGAGAGAAACGCGCGTGCCTCTTTTTCGGCGGTACCTGTATATATATAGTCTCTCGCTGTTGTTTGCCGCCTGCGGCGGTTGGTGAAAAATCGATGACTGACCGATGAACTTGCGATTAACCAACTGTCTTTTCAACGAAATGATCTCGCTCAATAAAACTTGTCTTATGCAAAATTGCAACGTAATTAATAAATTATGCAACGATCACAATTAATCAGAAGTAATTTGTCAGAGAACGCAGGATTTTGCAATAAATAAATTCGTTTGCGGCAAAAAAAAAAAAAAGAAACTAATGCGACGTTTGTAAAGTAAAAACTAAATAAGCTTGGTTTTTTAGTAAAAAAAAAAAAAAAAAATTTGTGAATAATTTCCCATCGCGTTCAATTGCGACGTTGTTTGCTCGTGAATGACTTGCGGACATTCTTACAGGCTGATATATCGCGCACATATTGCCACCACGTCGTGTGTGTTCATGTGTGGCACGGTTTGATTAAGACGTCTGAGGGTAACGAATTGTGTAATGAGTATTTGATGCGCTCGGCCCGGTGAGTAATTAGTCGTATGACGTTATTAATGTTTCGTTCTAACGTTTTCATCTTTATCTGCGCGCGTTACCAGTGTAACAATATTTGCTTTCCTACGTTTCTTCCGCTGTTTCGAAGTTTTTAGTTAGCAGGTAACGCAATAGCTCTTATTTACACGGAGGTAAAAAAAAACATATATAGAAGATAATAAGAAAAAAAACTACAAAAAAATTTCGAATTACAAAATTTCCGCAATTTAATCTCTTCGATCGAATTTACATTATTGCGTGTCACGTGCGCGGACGAGCGACGAGACTCATATTGTAATGTACGTTCGCTAAGTGACA